AAATTTTGGATTTAGAGAAACAATAAACACCCCTTTTAAACCCATAGTTTTGCTTTGATTACAATGTTGATGTTGCAATGACACGCCTAAAAAAAGATGAACGCAACAAACGTTTCTTCGATTTGTAGTCTATGTTGTTATCTGAGATACCTTTTAGGTTATTGCTATTTTAGAAGTGTATTCGAGAATATTATTCTTACTTTTCTCTCCGAGGAGTCTTGTTGGACATTCCTTTTTTCGTAAAGCAGCATGAATTTCAAGAGCATGCTCAAAGCACATGGTACTACAATATCAATTAGTAAATCATCAATTAAAAAAGTTTGGTAGAATTAATTCATATGGTACATGTTGAACAATTCCATGTAAATAGAAGTTAGAATTATAAAATATTTGTACAAGATACCTATTGTAAGTGGAAATTGTTTCAGCACATGTTTTCAGAATCAGTGTAAGGCCGATAAATCTTACAAAAAGTAGAGATGATCAATTATAACTCACCAACTTCTTCTACTACTACTACTTCTACTACTACTACTACTACTACTATGATTACTACTACTACAACTGCTCCTGCTGCTACTACTACTACTACTGCTACTTCTACTACTACTACTACTACTGCTACTTCTGCTACTCCAATTACTACTACTACTTCTACTTCTACTACTACTACTACTACTACTACTACTACTACTACTACTACTACTTTTACTACTACTTCCACCACTACAACTACTACTACTACAACAACATATACTACTACTACAACTACTATTACTACTTCTTCTTCTACTACTACTACTGCTATTACTACTACTACTACTACAACTGCTACTACCACTACTACGTCTACTACCACTACTACCACTACTACTGCTACTACTTTTACTACTACTACTATTACTATTACTACTACTACTGCTACTGCTACTACTACTACTACTACTACTACTACCACTACTACTGCTACTTCTACTACTACTTCTACTACTTCTACTACTACTACTACTACTACTACTACTACTACTACTACTACTACTACTACAACTACTACATCTTCTGCTTCTTCTGCAACTACTACTACTACTATTACTACCACTACTACAACTACTACTACCCCTCCTACTTCTACTACTACTACTACAACTACAGTTTCTTCTACTACTACTTCTACTATTACTACTACTACTATTACTACTACTAAGGGGGCAGACCAATTACAAGTTCTCAGACCTTTCCGATGAGCGGGAAAACAAACTCATTTTTACGGGGTCATTTATATACACCCCCTCCCCCAAACATACACACATATGTACCGCAAACAAACAAAATTTAACTTCCCTGAATGCAAAGATTCTGCATTATATCTACCACATGAAAGTTTTCCAATTTTTTCTATCCAGAATTTGAATATAGATAGAGAGCGATTCTATTTTGAATAAAATTTTAACAACCAGTGTGTATAAGAGATGTTTATTCGAGCTTGCCGTAAAGGTTTGCCCTAAACGTAATCTTAAATCTTAATAAATTTGTTTTACATTTTATTTCTCTTTCCATGGTTCATCTAGATATGAAATATTTGCCCCCCCCCCCCCCCCCCCCCAGTCATAACCTTTTTACTACGGTATTGTTCGTTCAAGTTGACGTCTTCACACTTTTTGTGAATGTAATAAATATAGTAAGTTAGTGTAAAAAAAAATAGTACTGAAAGATGTTGGAGTTGGAACTTATCCCCCTCCCGAATCAAACAATTGTTTTCTTTTTGTGTTTTATCCCTCCTCCCGAATCAAATAACTGTCTTCTTTTTGTGTTTTTGCTTGTCAAATACTTTTCAAGTTCGTTTACCCCCACCCCCCCCCCTTTTTAAATTCGATTCTAGGTGACTGCTGTGTTAGTGATTTTCGTAAATAAGAGACTGAGCATGACAAAATCAACTTGTATTTAATAGTGGGGGATTGAATATGTACAAGATATATCGTTTATGATAAGATTTCTGTATTTTAAGTGATTTAATCCAAAATAATATATTCCGTTTCCGTTCCGTTCCGCTTTCCGTTCCGTTTTCCGTTCCGCGTTTTAGCAACACCCCCCGGGGGTCATAATTTGAACAATTTAGAATAAACACTACCCCAGGATGGTTTTACATAAGTTTCAGCTTTTCTGGCCTAGTTGTTCTTGAAAAGATTTTTTGATGACCCCACCCTATTTTTTTATTTCTTGATTATCTCCCCTTGTGAAGGGACTTGATCCTTGATTTTTACAATTTAAACTTTCCTTTACCCAAAAATGCTTTGTACCAATTTTGGATAAAATTTGGCCCTGTGGTTTCTTAGAAGAAGTAAAGAATGTGAAAAGTTTACAGACGCACGGACAACAGACGGACAGATAGACGGACGACGGACCAAATGTGACCAGAAAAGCTCACTTGAGCCTTCGGCTTAGGTGAGCTTTAATATGATTGGCATTTTGTGCATAGAAAACGCATGCTAATGAGTTAAATTATTGACTTACCAGTATGGTATTTCATTGCCCTTGATTACAACTGATTGAATAAAGATTAGACCCTTATATATAATAATGTATATATAGAAGGCTTACGTCCTCTCTAGAATATGACAAAATCAACTATGGTTAATTCATGAATTCACAGCTCATTTAATATACATTATGATTTATATATATGATAAACTAATTTACGGAAATTGTAATAGTTGATGCCTTGTGAAGTGTTTTGGATTTGTGTACTATGACTCGTAAAAATAAAACTCGAAAGGACATCTTGTTTTGTTAGTAAAATGCATTTCAAAATAAAATTGTATAGCTCAGAGGTTTCCAAAACTTCATAAGAATCCTTACAAAGATTCACTGTGGGTTCCAGTAAATGTTTAGTCAACTTTCTTTAGTCCTCGCTAAGATATTGAGAGTAGTGAGGGAAAAACTTCAAAAGTACTGTTCAACAATATATTCAAGAAAAGACGTGAATCATATGTGGAACAGCTTACAAACTTACGGCTTTTCAACTTTGTACACAAGCATTCCCCACGAAAAATTAAAGACCAGGCTTTTTGATAACATAGACGGCTAGAACTATGTAACTAATATAACATGGTCATTGATCATTTTCAAAATCATCTTGTTAAAACACATTCTGATTGCACACTCAAGTACATATATGTACTCTCTGAAGTCGACATATAAACAATTCTTGGGTTTCTAATTCACAATTTCTATGTGTTTTTTTTATTCTATTGAAATTCCCATGGGTACCAATTGCGCTCCGTTATTAGCAGACCTATTTTGTATTCATATGAAGCTGAATTTGTGCAAAATCTTATATGCGTGAAAAGAAGAAAACACTTGCTGTGGCCTTCAACTCGAGTCTGAAAAATCTGCTTCATACTCAGATATTTTACTTGTGTTGCGCCTCCCACCTCGGGAGAGACTGGGGCAACTGTGTGGGCTTTCCACTCTCGTATATCAACTTTATAAATAATTAAGTCAGGATAAAAGTTCAACAAATAAAATTTATTTACACTTTGTACAATTTAATGTAAGTATTGTTATAATAAAAATCACAATAAAATATCTGACACCTTATAAAGTAAAGTCACTCCCACAACCCGTAGGCAAAATCTAAATCTCCCAAAATAATTATAAAAATTAGCTACTTGTACCAAAATATAATATTATTTTCCTTAATTTAATATTTATTTATACCTATTCTATAAGTTATATATAGTTTTAATAATAAATTGTAACTCCCATAGTAACTCCCATACATTCTCCCATACGTTTTTCCGTCGATGCGTCTTCCACACTACTTATGGGTCTCCCACAGGGATATTTCAGCGTCTCAATTTAATATAACTTGACTAATATAATTACCCATCTGGTCTGCATTGGGTCTGCCATCCTTTAAATGCTTGACTATGGGAGCACTTGTAGAACAAATAATAATTCGGAGGCCTCTTTATCCTCCCAACTTCTCCCCCCTTCTCCTCTAGCAGACGAATTTTTGCTTCTTTAAATACTTTTACTGTACACACTGGTAACCTCCACTAGCCAATCATATCGCTGACCCGGAATAACCGTACGCCACTTCCGGTATAAACAAATCAGGGAAAGTGCAAGCAGAGAAGTAATCTAATAGAAAATAATTACTAACCATACAAAATGAGATTTTATCTTCCAAAATACAATAAGTACAAGTAGCTATTACGTTATTAAGATGATTTAAACAATGACAATACAATGTTCAAAGACGAAATGTGATAAATGACTTCAAACATGATATCGAGATCGAGACCGGGTCGAAATACAGTGAACCCGACTCAAAAACAATATTACACGATTGACAGCATATAATTTATATCGTTTACAATATTTTACAAATTATTTAATAACATACAATCATGTGCATATTAATACGCTGAAACAACAGTATACGCTGCGAGTGATTAATTAAATGCACAAAAGTGATAAAACGAATTTCGTAACACTTGAAAAAGACGTTAATGGTTATCTAACAACCAAGCTCTATGATAAACGTCACCTTCCCTTACCTATGCAGTAATATACCTTCATCACCTATATATCTCAAAGGATTCGATACACAAGATCATGTTCTACGTATGAACAATTTCTTAAATTAAACGAGGTTAATTATTGACATATATGTTGATGAAATAAGAATATCAACAGTCTCGTTTAAAGTAATCATTTCGTAAAATCTAGTCGCCAGAGTGGCGCAGTGGTAAGTGCGTCTGCTATAGAGTCGCAAAGTAAGGAGTCACTCCTTACGTCGCGGGAGACCGTATAAACCGAGGTCCCGTGTCGTAGTAGGTGCTGGCACGAAAAAGGTCCCTCCCTGCTCAATGGCCCTAAGTGCCGAGTATAGGACAAAATTTGCAGCTCTCCACCGGCAAGTGGTGGGGTCTCCATATGAGTGAAAAATTCTCGAGAGGGATGTTAAACAATATACATGCACAATCAATCAATCAATCGTAAGTTCTGTGGTCGATACAATGACCTTGTCAGCAAATACAATTGATAACTGAGTTAAATGCTGACTGACGTTTTCCAACTAATTGTTATTCCATTACTTATACACTGAATTTTTCCGTTATTTGCCGATCATGACAAGGAGCACACGGCGGATGTGACCAGTCGGTAGGAAATGCTCACTCCTCTATGGCACCTGATTCCACCTCTGATGTTTCAGAGGTCTGTATCTGCTCTGCTCCTGTTTTGTATTGTTTTATGGACTTTTGATTTTGATCACTGTTTGTTGTCTCCATATGTTTCATATATATATTTTCAATGATAGAAAAATTCAAATTGTGCACTTTAAATGCATAAATGAAAAACAATATTCACTACTAAAAGTACTTATAAAATCAGCTTAAATTGTATTCCAGAACATAAAAATGACCTCGTCAGCAAATACTATTTATTCTCTACATAAAACAATTGTGCAAAAATGATTACATTATTATTAACACAGGAAATTAAATAAATTTGTAAAGTATAGTTTCTTCCCTACACAGGGGCCCGTTTCATCAAAGGTCCTACGCCCAGTCGTAGCGCTACGCCGGCGTCAAGTCGGGGCTAGCACGAAGATTTGCGTTTCATTAAAGAGTGTATCGTTACGCCTGACTATATTTGGGCCAAACATTTACGTCTACTCAAAGGTAGGCGTAAGTTCGGGCGTAAAGTTAAAATTAAGCATTTTTACTCATTTTTAAACAATTTAGCGAGTTCTACAGAAAAAAGTACGGTTCTAAAATGTCTTTAAAATACAAACATTGCATTATTTAATTATACATACTATGAAGTGAGTAGGGGGGGGGGGGGCTGTTACAACCATTTGGGTTGATTGAAGCAATAATGTACTTCATATTTTAATAGAATTCTTCTCAAAGAAAAGATTGTTTTATTAGAGATTTCTTCGACCACCATTTCTTTCGTTTTGACAAAGCATTCACACACATTTTTGTTGTATTGTATGTATAAGGTATTGTAAATCGAGTACAGTGACTACACATATAATTATATTTATTCCCCCGCTTCTTGTCAGTCTGTCCGTCTATTCGCTTTTGGGTGCCCATCTCTTATTCACAACTCCTCTCTTACCACTAAATGAAATGTAATGCGACTTTACAGAATCTTTATTAAATAATGCCCCTGTGACTTAATTTACTCTTTGGTCGGACTCATATTTTGGGTTTTACATAGCAAAACATGGATACTGTCATTATATTCG